CGTGTTGTACTGCGTACACGCGGGGACACACGTGTTGTACTGCGTACACACGGGGTCACGCGTGTTGTACTGCGTACACACGGGGCCACGCGTGTTGTACTGCGTACACACGGGGCCACGCGTGTTGTACTGCGTACACACGGGGCCACGCGTGTTGTACTGCGTACACGCGGGGACACACGTGTTGTACTGCGTACACGCGGGGACACACGTGTTGTACTGCGTACACGCGGGGACACACGTGTTGTACTGCGTACACGCGGGGTCACGCGTGTTGTTCTGCGTACACACGAGGTCACGCGTGTTGTACTGCGTACACACGGGGTCACACGTGTTGTACTGCGTACACACGGGGTCACACGTGTTGTACTGCGTACACACGGGGTCACACGTGTTGTACTGCGTACACACGGGGTCACACGTGTTGTACTGCGTACACACGGGGTCACACGTGTTGTACTGCGTACACACAGGGCCACGCGCGTTGTACTGCGTAAACACGGGGTCACACGTGTTGTACTGCGTACACACGGGATCACACGTGTTGTGATGCGTACACACGGGGTCACGCGTGTTCTGCGTACACACGGGGCCACACGTGTTGTACTGCGTACACACGGGGTCACGCGTGTTGTACTGCGTACACACGGAGCCACACGTGTTGTACTGCGTAAACACGGGGCCACACGTGTTGTACTGCGTACACACGGAGCCACACGTGTTGTACTGCGTAAACACGGGGCCACACGTGTTGTACTGCGTACACACGGGATCACACGTGTTGTACTGCGTACACACAAGTCACACGTGTTGTACTGCGTACACACGGGGCCACACGTGTTGTACTGCCTACACACGGGGTCACACATGTTGTACTGCGTACACACGGGGCCACACGTGTTGTACTGCGTACACACGGGGCCACACGTGTTGTACTGCGTACACACGGGGCCACACGTGTTGTACTGCGTACACACGGGGCCACGCGTGTTGTACTGCGTACACACGGGGCCACACGTGTTGTACTGCGTACACACGGGGCCACACGTGTTGTACTGCGTACACGCGGGGCCACACGTGTTGTACTGCGTACACGCGGGGTCACACGTGTTGTATTGCGTACACGCGGGGTCACACGTGTTGTACTGCGTACACACGGGGTCACACGTGTTGCACTGCGTACACACGAGGTCACACGTGTTGTACTGAGTACACACAGGTGCACGGCGCGTCGTCTACGCGTGCGTTTGTAGCATGGGGAAATGAGCTGGGGGAGGGGGGGGTGCACGTATGATCATTCGGCTCGAATCCATAAAACAATAAATGTCTCTATTTGATCGGCGCAGATGAAGCCCTGGGTATCCTGCAAGCCCGGCCTTGCCCCGCGTGTGCGCCAGCACGCACCCACGCGCCGTCAATGTATTATTTGAGCTGGAAGACATACAGACAGTCCTAGTGTCTTTTTCATCAAGCCCACGGCGGCGTGATGTGGTGGTGGTGGTGTGTGTGTGTGAGGTTGTCCAATCCTGCGCTCGTAAAACGGTGACTTCAGACCGCTGGGCAAACCGAACACGAAGCCTCTTCAATTCCCAGCAAGTCCACACGTGTGGGTGGTTTTATTGTCGATTTCAATGGCTTGGGATGGGGTGGGGGGGGGGCACCGATACGTGGACCGTCTTGAGAGCGCAGAGGGGCGCGTTAGGCTTTTGCGACCAATGTTATTCATAATAAAGGTGTTTTAGGTTCGATCGCGTAAGTATAAATGTGGCAAAATCGCCCGAAGGTGCTGGATGTAATTACCAGCGAAACGTCTTACTCAAATTGAAAAACGTTGTGGATTTACTCTCCAACACACCGGTGGGCTGAAGTGGTAACTAATTGGCACTTTTGTTTACGTGACAAACCTTACTGGTTGGTTGTGTCGGGTGGTGGCGGGTTAACGACACATTTATATCATTAGACCTCCTTTGCCAGTACCAAAATATAATAATAGGGTTTTCCCCTTTTTTCTGGCAACAAAACTGAAACCTTTTTACAAGGATTCATGTCTGCATTAACCACAATACTTGCAGTCGGAATGCAAACAAAAAGCACACTATGATAATATATGCATTGTCCTTGAAACTGATTGGTCCACACCAATGGGCGGCTTTCTTTTGAGCCTCGACCCAATTGGTGCTCGACCAGAGGACGCCAAAAGGCGTACAGCTCAACGACAATGCACTATCAAAGTACTGTCATTGGTATGGACCAATCAGTTTCAAGGACAATGCATATATTATCATAGTGTGTTTTTGTTTGCATTTCGACTACAGGTATTGTGGTTAATGCAGACATGAATCCTTGTAAAAGGTTTAACTTGTGTTGCCAGAAAAAAGGGGAAAACCCCTATTATTATGACACATTTATAATTACGCGATCGAACACAAAAACTCGTGTTAAGAGAGCACAGAGGGGTGGCGATCCCCATGTTGTCCGCTAGGCGGTGCTCTGAGCGTGCTGAACGTGATACAGCTGCTCAGATGCCGGTGTCTGTTACTCCAGAACACGTGGCGGGTAAACACGTGGCGGGTGAGCACGTGGGGTGAGCACGTGGGGTGAGCACGTGTGGTGAGCACGTGGGGTGAGCACGTGGGGTGAGCACGTGTGGTGAGCACGTGTGGTGAGCACGTGGGGTGAGCACGTGGGGTGAGCACGTGTGGTGAGCACGTGGGGTGAGCACGTGGAACTTCTTTCGCACCTGTACGTGGCCAGCCCGTGCCAATCGGAGGTGCGGAGGGAAGGACAACACGCAAGTGACCCACGAAGATTCACGTCCGACTCTTGTGATCTCGCTTGCGGTCTCTTCTCCTCTCCACTCACCATGCCTGCTGATTTCAATATCCCTTTAGACCAGGGGTGGGGAACGTCCGGCCCGCGGGCCGTTTAAGGCCCGCGAAATCATTTGGTGTGGCCCTGCCAAGGCAACCGCAGGCGGGACTCGAAATTCAATAAATTTAGGAGCAAACCTGGAAAAGCAGTTGCGAGTAGCAGCATCATCAATACCAGCTAACATCACACGCCTCACCAAAGAGAAGCAGTTCCAGCCATCGCATTAGGGGTGAGTTAATTAAATGTTTGACCCAAATATAACAGGCTAATTTTTAAGTTGATAATTTTGCATGGCCCGTGAATGATGTTGTAAATATCCAAATGCTCCTCGGTAGAAAAAAGGTTCCCCACCCCTGGTGTAGACCATCTCGAGCATCGTGAAGCAACGCTTGAAATCCGTGCATTCACTCCCAGCTCACGTCAATTCATTTTCACTCCCACGGTCGCGTTCGCAGCCTCGTCACCACCACCACGTCCATCGCTCTCACCGTCATTTCATCTAACAACAACCATAACACATTCTCTTTTTTTCCTCCCGACATAACCTACCAGGTCCATAATATCCTTGCACCCTAACAGATCCATTTACTAAAATATTTCACCTGGATAATCCCTTGAGACGATGGCGAGATGTTAACTACCTCGCCTAGTATACAGGAGGTTGTGGATTCGGTCCCGACCCTGACGCCTGCTGTATATTTGGCGTTTGCGTGTTCTCCCCGTGGTCGCGTGGATTTTTCTCTGGCTCTTCCCGTTTTTCCTTCCACATCTGGAAACATGTGTTTCGAGTATTTGGCTGCTATACATTTCCACGTGATAAGCCACTTTGTTGAGCTATCATTTGTTCCCAGGTCGCTTCTGACAAAGAGCTATACAGCTCAGTGGGCCTTACCTGGTAAAATAAAAAAATATATAATTTCGTTTTCAGTTTATACAGAGCATCTCGTTTGCAAGGGTGTCAAGTGATACGTGTATAGTAGTAACACACACGTAATGATGCGTGTGTACACACATTTTTGTGGGCTTTGTCCGGTAAGATGGGGATGATTTCGTTTAATTTGTGTGTGTGTGTGTCTGGGCGATTTGTTTACCCATCTTGTACTTTGAACTCCTATCGTGTCGTTATACTGTTTGTTGTTGTGACGTTCTTAGCCCGTGAAAAAGAGTTGTGTAGCCCTACTCTTTGATTCTTTCGGTAAAGTCACGTAGGTGAAAATAAAAAAATAAAAAAAAATATTTTTCATATTTTGTATTTATTTTATTTTCACCTACGTGACTTTACCGAAAGAACCAAAGAGTATAGATCCTTGCAGTCACGAAAACTTCAAGCTTTATAGCCCATCGGATTCCTCCAGTATAAATAAGCATTCTGATTATGAAAACACTTCTCGAGACAGACGCAGGAAGGAACGCATTGATTTAGGGTGGACTTGGCTGAGTGGGGAGGGGATGCCCGACAGGACATCCAGCTCGGGGGTGGAGCGATGAGATCACCTCGTGGACGAGATGGTTTGTGGCGTCGCGACACCCCCTGGGAGGATGTTGACCAAGTTGCGAGACGTGCACCTTGCAATGGACAGATGAGGGATGATGAAGTTGCAGCTTTTGCTCGTGTACGGCTCTTGTCCATCCACTGCTGAATGAAGACCCCCCCATACCGTGCGGGTCGTGGGCGGGGGGTTATTTGACCATACTTCACCACGCTGACCAAGTCCGAGTTGGTGAGGATTGGGATCGTAGACGTGGGAGCATACAAAGTGCGGTACAACGGGGTTGACTGCATTGCCCTCTGCTGCCCACTCGCATCCGCAGCTGCGTCCTGCACAACGCCTTGATACGCGTCTTGGACGCCCCCATCCATTCAACTACCCAGGCCCAAAGCTTAGCTTTCGAGATAACAGGCGACTAGCAAGCCCTTTTACAAAACGACATTTATTACGTGCTTACCATATCCTTGGGAACTGTGAGATTCGTCGACAATTTCCACATCTGCATTGGAGCTCGGAATGTTTTTATTCACGAGAGAGACAGAGCGTTTATGGCGGTGATTTCGTTTTACAATCCGTCTCGCTCTGCACGCTCGCAGCCGACTCGGCGAGACGCGGCTTCGCAGGGGATGGGGGCCCCCCTTTTGATTCAGGGGATAGGGGAGAGGTGGAGGCGGGGTGGAGGGGCCCTCCGCCGTCTCGGGGTCTGTCAGCGCCCCACGTCCAGTACCAATGCATCGACTCGGTGCGGCGCTGTGACACTGCCAGTGCAGCCGCCGCTGAACGCTTCTCACGCCCGCCTCTTCATCCTCCCCCTCTCCCTGCTCCTCCGTCTTTATCCGCGAGATCACTTAAAGATGCGTGCCGCGCCGGGAGGCGTGCGATGCCGGGGGTGGCGGTGTTCGCAGGCAGATGAGACGAGGGGACGCGCTGGTGTCTGGGCCCGTCGCGCGTGTGCGCCAAGAGGAGGAGACGAACCTGGAGCGGGTGGCTTTTGTGTCGAAATTTAAACAAAAAAATGTAACCCCCCCCCCCCCCCGTCTCTCTTAAACTCCGGTCTCTCCTAGAGCGCTGTCACCCCCCCTCCCGCCGCCTCCTCCTCCCGCCCCACGCGCCGCCCTCCCTCTCGCGTTGTCGCGGCAGCGGCGGTGATGCTTGGTGCTGACTCCTCCTTCGCCATCGCCTCGACCGTTCATCCTCGGCCACCCCGCGCCCCGTTACCTCCGCGCGCCGGGCACGAGCTGTGACCGCGGGCTTCTCGGCTGCTGTCGCGGGCGGTGAGGGCGAGGTGAGGGTGAGGTGAGGGTGAGGTGAGGGCGAGGTGAGGGGTGCGCGTCTCCGTGGTGGACAGCGAGTCGGAGGATCGTGGCTTTGCGGAGGCTCTCACGGGTCCCTGGACCGCCGCCGCCGCCCCCCCCTCCCCCTGCCCTGCCCCCTTCGGCTCGTCTCGCTCGTCCTCTCGTCCACCCCGCTCCCCTCGCTCCCGCTAGTCCACCTCCTTGACAGCGGCCAGCAGCAGGAAAATGGCGAGCCGAGGCGGCGCTGCGCTCGGCTCGCTGTGCTGCTGGCTGATGTCCCTCGCGTCCCTCTCCCCGGGTGCCTCGGGGGGGGTCCGGCTGGAGCTGCGCATCCTCGAGGAGCAGCCCGCGGGGGCCCCGGTCGGGGACCTGAGCGCGGCGCTGCCGAGCGGCACGGCGGCCCACGGCTTCTTCATCTCGGACTCGGGAGACTCGGGCGTGAACGACGCCTTCCACATCGCGCAGCTCACGGGCGCCATCGTGACGGCGCGTCCGCTGGACCGCGAGGCGCGGGACCGCTACTCCTTCGTGGCCGTGACGCTCAGCGGGGTCACCATCCCGGTGCTCATCCACGTGGTGGACGTGAACGACCACGCGCCGCGGTTCCCGCGCGCCGACGTCGGCTTCAACGTGTCGGAGCGGACGCCGCGGGGCACGCGCCTGCCGCTGGACGCGGCCGTCGACGCCGACGTGGGCGAATTCGACGTCCAGGGCTACGAGATCAGAAGCGGCAACGCGGGAGGCGCGTTCCGCCTGGACGCGAGCCGGGCGGCCGCGGGCAACGTGGAGCTGGTGGTGGACGGCCCGCTGGACCGCGAGAGCGTCGCTCGCTACGAGCTGCTCCTCGAGGCGTTCGACGGAGGCTCCCCACCTCGACACGGGGCCCTGCGCGTGCACGTGGCCGTGCTCGACGTGAACGACAACTCGCCCGTGTTCAACCAGACGCGCTACGACGTCGCCGTGTCCGAGAGCGCCGCTCCGGGGACCGCCATCCTGCGCGTGTTTGCCACGGACAAGGATGACGGTCCCAACGGGGTGGTCATTTACTCCATCAACCGCAGGCAGAGCGACCCGGACGAGATCTTCGTGATCGACGCGCACGCCGGGGTGATTACGCTGAGCCAGCCGCTGGACTTCGAGACGAAGACCGTGCACGAGTTGGTCATCCAGGCGCGAGACAACGCCACCCAGCCGGAATACGACACCGCCTTCGTGACGATCAACGTGGAGGACTACAACGACAACCAGCCCAGCATCAGCATTATCTTCCTGAGCGAGAGCGGCGAGGCGGAGATCTCCGAGGGTGCGTCTCCCGGAGATTTCGTCGCTCGGATCTCGGCGTCGGACCCCGACGCCACAGACCGCGGGCAAGTGAACGTGTCCATTGCTGGGGGCGACGGGAAATTCGGGTTGACCACCAAGGACACCGTGGTCTACTTAATTTGCGTGGACCAATCGTTGGACCGGGAGGAGAAGGACGCGTACAACATCACGGTGGTGGCCACCGACTCGGGGTCACCTCCACTGCGGGCCACGGCCAATTTCTCCCTGCACATCCGAGACGTCAACGACAACGCCCCCGTGTTCGAGCAGACAGAGTACCTCGCTTCCGTCCCAGACTCGGCTCCCGTGGGCACGCCCGTGCTGCGGGTGACAGCCGCGGACCGCGACTCCGGCGTCAACGCGGTCGTGCGCTACGCCCTGGAGGCCTCGGCGTACGGCCACCCGGCGGCGTGGTTCAGCGTGGACCCCTTCTCGGGTTGGTTGCGCACCGCCGCGCCGCTCGACCGCGCGGCCCACCCGAGGCCCCGGCTCACGGTCGTGGCGAGGGACGACGGGCGGCCGTCGCTGTCCGCGTCCGCGGCCGTCACCGTCACGATCGAGGACGCCGCCGGACTTCACGGCCTCGACGCCGGGCCGCCCGTGTTCTCGCAGGTCGTGTACAACGCCTCGCTGCCGGCGAACGCGCGCGCGGGCACCTGCTTCCTGCAGGTGAGGCCGCGCTGGGAGGGGTATCGCGTGTGGTGCTAGGCGTATAGGCCTGGTGGGCTGGTGTAGTAGTCACGTACACGCTAGACACAGTCATTGCGGGAGGTATACTCGATGTAGTGCGCCGGGTGTGGAAATATTTTGCAGGTCACCAATGCATGAAGTCAAAAGTCAAAGTGATTTCGTGCGAAGATGGGCATTGAAGCAGTGCTCATCTTCTGATTACAGTCCTGAACCAGCGGTGGAAATTCCACATTCTTATGGCCGGTTGTAAAACATGAAATGGTTCCTACTTTGCTGGTGGAATACCAAGGTGAATTGCATTGCGTGATGTTATTGGCAAAGTACACAAGGAACATTATATCTTTGCATATGGAGATGTCACAACAATAATGATAACATTGCCATTTAGCCAGGACAGCTTCAATGAGTCTCAAGATTAATTTAGAAGGGCCTTGCGTTCCGTGAATATTTTGCAGAAGGAGAATCAAACCCACATATCGGCGATAACACTAAAAGCTCAGCACAGATAGATCCAACGATCCATGTTGAATCTCACACCCACAACACCACACCTGCAACACCCAGCATTTCCAGCAAGCTTTTTGTGCGGGTGGTAACCAGGCTGAACACCGCTTAGCCTCCAAGCCCATTCAAGGCGATCTGGTCCGAGGCACTGCCCTTCCCATTTCTCCAAATGCAGAACAAAAAGCGAGAGGGGCATGATTGTTTTCACACCGCTGCCGCGCCTTTCTCTGGCTGGGTTTGCTGTACGAATAAACGTGGAGACAATGTCAACATAAATCGACCGCTGGTTTGGCCAATGGCCAGCTGAGGTTCTGACGTGGGCCAGGAATCCCACGCCCGCTGGGGAAGCACTCCCACATCAGTTCGCAGAGTCCCTGCGACGTCTCATCCTTGCAGACAAAGCTAGGGAGCGGAGTGGAGTGACTGCTGTAGTTTCATCTCAGAGTCAGATTGCAATTACAATTTTAACAAAAATATTCCTCATGTCTTCTTGGTTCTTTCGGTAAAGTCACGTAGAATGGAAATAATTAAATAATAAATATAATAAAATATTTTTATTTTATTATTTCCATTCTACGTGACTTTACCGAAAGAACCAAGAAGATGAATGACTGCAGTCACGAAAGCTTTAAATCGAAATATTCCTCATGTATTAATCCCTTTCACTTGGATGATCCCTTGAGATGGAACATCTCAATCGCGAGAGTCTTCGCGGAGTCGAGTGACGCATAGCAAACGCAATGCCTCGTACACAGTGCACACATTTGAAATCTATAGCTTCAAAAAATAAGGCATTTTTTCCCCATGAGCATTAACATCACAAAAGGGGGCGTTGCCAATAGGACCCCCATGCACAGCAAGAGCTTCTGCTCACCAGCACTGTGGCACGGGAAGGCTGTATGCACAGTCAACATGGGAGTGCGATCGCCGCAGAGATCCCAAATGCGGTGCACGTGAGACTCGTGCAGGCAGCGCGGTGCGTGCGGTGACTGCGTGCGAGGGAGGCAGGGCACGCCACTCCATCCCGACTGAGCCTGCAAGGCTGTGGTACAGCACGAGAGCGTCTTGTGAGCATCTTGTGAGCGTCTTGTGAGCGTGCCTAGCGGGTACCACCACCCTGGCGTGGCACGGCGCGGCTCCTGCAGAGGGCTCGTGGCTTTTTCTCACGCCGAGCTCAGAGCTCACCCGGACAAAAGCGCGCCCGCGTTTCTGCCTTTCCATTGCAATGCGAAACGCGCCACTGCAGCCTCTCCCATGTATCGTGTTCATCACGTTGCATCGTGTTTGGGATGAGGAGGAGGAGGAAGAAACGTAACGATGGTGCGATTGGGAATTCCCACAATGTTTGGAACGCGTCTGAGCGGGTGAAACACCATAGCAATGGCATCCTCATCAGATTCAAGGGCATCCCTAAACAAGAGTGTGAAGGTAATATCTGGGAACAATGCAAACACCGTATGTGTGCATTGCACAGCGGACGGTGCAGAGCACTCGGGGCCTATGCGTGGCTTTCCTCCAGGTATGCACTGTACTGCAGCTTGCTCGGGGAGGCTTGAGAGGCCGGTTCCTATGGTAATGCAACACCCGGATCTGATCCCACCCCCTCCCCTCCTCTCCGCCGCAAGCCCCTTGTGTCCTCCACTCCGCACCACCAACTCTCTGTTGCACGGCGCGTTCTGAATGCGCCTCGCGATGGGGCAGAGCTTTGCGCGTCTCGCGCTCAAAGCACAAAGTCACTCCGCTGCTGCAGAGTCGCCCTGTCCGGGAGGGTGTCCTGCAGGCCACGTGCTCGCGTGGAGATTAATTGTACGCCCTGGTGGCAGATTGCGGTTTTTCCTTGGGTTCCAACAATGAACCGCAGGTTTTTTTTTTATATTTGCTGGCCGTGATCATTACGGAGCGGGAGGCGGTGCGCGGAGCTGGTCATGCTTACGCTTGCTTTGCCCAGAAAAGCCTCAAAGAGTGCCAGGATTATTTTAGCAGGAGGGTCCTGCAACATGCTTTACAGTAAGCAGGCGATGTTGCCGCTGTGTGTGATCCCAGTTGAGCGATTTGCAGGAAATGTTTTCAACATTGGGACGTTTGGCCAATACCAGTCACGTTGTGTGTTTTGTTTAGCAAATGGGAGGAAACCGAAGAGCATGGTGGATACCCCACGCAGAACAGGAGGAGAACAGACTCCACACAGATAGGCGCCCGAGTCGGTAAATCGAACCCTCTTGTAGCGAGGCACAAGTGTCACCACTGTGTAGCCGCCCTGTCGCCCACTGTCGCAGATATTAGTATTTTGTAAATATGTTGTTGGTGCAAAGTGGTCCGAGAAATACATTGGAGGGTTGGACAGTTGCCCACGGGTCCAGAAATGTTGGGAACCGCTGGCGTCGGGGTGGCTAATTTCCTGGAGAGGAGTCGTGGGTATTGTTTGTGCAGGAGAATTGGGTTCCATGTCAGGGCTGGGCAGGGTCCTCCGCTCGCTGTGTCGTGGGGGTCTCCGATCCCACCCACTCGGCCAGTCCCATTGAAGGGGCTCCCGTTTCGTTTGGTCACGCATGGCCGGACATCTCTTGTGGCCACCCTGGCTGCGAGCTTAACGTCTAATCCCTCTCAGTGCAAACTTCTTAAAAATATGTTTTCTTCTTTCCCCCTGAGCCCCCAGAGCTCGTGTTTTCAGCCCTCCTACTTTGCGTGACATTCTGTGCCAATGAACTCTAATATACCCTAAAGCCGTATTCTCAATCCATGGGGGGGCATTTTCACCCCGGCTATGTGGCGGGGTGGGGGGCTGGGGGGGGCTGGTGAGGGGGGCTGGGGGGGCGGTCGTAGTTCTTCAACATGGATACCGTGGAGGAGAAATGTATAATGTTCACGGTCAACGTCAGTGCCACATTTAGGTGACAAAACACCCCGTGATACAACAACATAGTCAATTTTACGTTAAGTTACTTTGCGTTGTCTTTCTGGCACGGATTTGCCATGCAAGGCACCGTTATATGCAGCACACAATGGATTACAGCAAAAACATCACGAGAAAGTATAAAATCCGTTTTTTTTTATCAAATAAGAAAGCACAAAACACATCTTAAGCTCTTAAATATTTCCCCACCACCATCCACGCCACTACTTGGTGAGCGTCTAGAGATGGTGTGTTTAGTTGTAATGTGAATGTTGTGATGGAGGTGGCTGAGCGTATCATTGTCTCAGTGAGGTTATTCTATAGGTGTAGTGCTGCGAATGAAAATAACAATTTAAATGCATTTATAAAGTAACATCTCCCATGGTTGTATGGTTGGCTTTTGGTGGCTGATGGAGTGGTCTGTGATGATGTACCGTGGAACTTGGTTTTTGTAAAGCTTTATATTTTAGCAAAATTAGTATGACATCTATTCTGTACTTGATAGTAAACCAGTGTAGGTTGTTATTAAAGTCTGTGTGATGTGAGATGATCTCTGAAGTTTGACGACGAGTCGAGCTGTTTTCGAGGTAAACCAAACAAGTAGAGATTTACAGTAACCAAGACGTGAGTTTATAGAAGTGTGCATCAAGGATGATGTCTCATTCATTGAGATCTATTTGGCTACCTGTTCATATTGTGCACACGGTAGGGTGCCATTTTTAAATCCTTTATATTAAGTTCGCATGCTTGCTTGCTTGCTTGCGTGCTTGCTTGCTTGCGTGCTTGCGTGCTTGCTTGCTTACGACCGTGCAAATCTTTCGGTCGTTTTTTAACCCACTTCCCGTGATCCAATCGAGCTGACATTTTCCACACAGACTCGTTGTGCCAGACAATTAATGTTCGTGAAAAAAAAATTCCCCAAATTTTACACTTTTTAGGCAAAAAAAAATTATTTTACATATATTCAAATAGAACTCATTCTTGGCTTTGGCTGAACGTCACAGTATAAGAGCCCAGAGCGTAACCCCTCCACGGGCCGTGGCAGAGTAGTGCAGTTGGTAGCGCCCTCGCTTCCCATGCCAAAGGTCGCGGGATCGATCCCCGCGTCCTCCACAGGCGAATATATTTTTAAATCCTTTATATTAAGTTCGCTGCCACGCATATAAAGGATTTATAGTGAAAAACTTTGTTTTTACGGGTTATACTTATTGGGATTTGAGATTCGTGAGAAATTGAACCCGGTGTCTCGTGTCATACTGAGGCTTGTTACCTGAACCGTACGTAGCCAATCGTGCTAATGGCACAAGAGATGAGTTACCGTGTTGGCTGTAGCGGCATGAGATGCGCTGTAGGAGAGATGTTTACCTTGTCCACCTGTGGCTTGGTGCCCGTTATGAGGTGTCCAGTTCTTTTCACGTTCAGTTTCAGAAAATGAATTGCGATGCCACGTTTTGATGGTATTCACAGCTGAGTGTTATTACATGATTGTAATCAGTGGATCCAGGTGTGATGAATAGAAGGTTGATGTCTTCTGCATACAAGTGACGTTACAGTCCAAGGTTTTGTTAATGGAGTGCACAGT